CTACTTAGTAAGGCTAGCAGTAGGTTGTATATTTTGAGAATATGTAAATATTATGGCTACCCTATTGAGAATTTGGACTTACTTTTTCAAAGTTTGATTCTTTCAGTTTTTACATATGCTATTGAGGTCTGGGGGTGTGCTTTTTATAGTAAATATTTAAGTAGAATTGATAAGCTCTTTGCCAGGTGTTATAAGCTGGGTTACTGCTTAAAGCAACACAGTATCTTGGATATCCGTTGTAATAGAGATAAGAAATTATGGCAAAGGATCTCTTCCACCAACACTGCGTTGAGCGATCTCTTACCTCCCCAGAGAACACGGCAGTTGAGAACTAGGTCGCATAATTATATTTTGCCTAAGGTTCAGACAAGCCGTTTTAAATCAGTTTTTATTAATAGATGTCTTTTCAATAGTAATTAGTACCTTTTCTTTTTCCTTATTCATTCTATTCATGTTAATTGTTGCACGTCTGTTTGCACAATAATTCTTAATAAAGACCTTTATTATTAATCTCTGTTTGATACACTTCCTAAGGAGGAAGCAGTGGTTTCCTATGCGCTACCTACACGTTCCTCAGTTCTTGCTCCGAACTACTGTCGTAAACAGTTCCCGGTACTTTCTGAACCAAGTTATGGGCAATGCATGGAGCATTCAAGTTAAAAGTATACAGTAATTTTTTTTCGTATCTTTGACCGAATTTGAATTTGAAAAGAAGTTGTTTCCTCTTCTCCTCCTGAAGTAGCTTGAATGGTCACAAAAAGCTGTCGATCGAGGCTCACGTATGCAAGAGAGAGATAAGGAAACTTCTGAGAGGGCTGAGAAAAGTTAGTGCGTGTATCCTGTTTTGCTATTGGATAAAAGAACAAACAGAGAAGTGACAATGGTAGGTCCCGCAGTTTACGTCAGAAAAAATTAAAATCTTAAGACTACCAGACATAGAAAATTGACAAGGAGATAAAAGTTTCACAGCTCACGAAGAGCGTGAGAGTATAAGCGCATGCATGACATTAAATTCGAATCTTATGACTCTATAGAACAGGCCGAGGTCTTAGGAGTTAAATGTTTCCTGTCGATACTCGATATGTTCCTGTTTATTGTGTTAAAATTCAATACTTTTTCCCAGCTTTATAATTTGGCTAGCCCATATCATAACCACCACTACTTTTAGCTTTTACAAATAATTCTTTCCCCTACAAATGACCAATCAATAACGGCGTGATTTATACATGTATGTTGCTTTTCAAAAACAATAAAATTGGACATTTACTGAGCTTGTAAGGGAATGAAAACTAGCTCCCAAAATTTGTGGAGGTGGTTTAAAAAGGGTTGGCCAGCCTAAAAATCACAAATTTCCTTTGCATAAGTAAATACAATTGAATTGAATTGAGCAAAAACAATTTAAAACTCATTTGTGTCTGGCGGCACTCAAGTAAGGCTGCCGTAAAAAAAAAAAAAAGAGATTTGCACCGGCCACCTTGCATTCAGGAGCGATATAAATTACCAGTACTTGCGTTTATTGATTTAAAAAAAAATTAATAAAAATTCTTTTTCTTATTTCAATGTTTATGCGCGGAGCGAATGCCAACTTAACTAAAAATATTGCACCAACGCGTTGAAAACCACTGGAAACGAAAAAAGGGTTGTTCATCGCTTAATTTTTTGCGGTCCCAAAGAAATAAAGAAGTCACAGTGATTCAATAGTATCATGATGAAACAACCTTGGAATGGCTTTTTGTACTGCAGCAATGAAGTTTGAATTCAAAACGAACGATTACTTTGTCGATGTTGATTGAGTTGATCACCGTGGTCGCTCATTTGTGATTCCTCATTCATGTAATGCTCGCAGACTATTGTCGGCGCGGTTTTCCCTTAAAAAAGGGCACAGCGATGTTTTCTTGCCCTTCGAGTTTGAAATCTTGTTGACACTTTTCCGTCGGGAAATGCCTTTCGCATTATTCAGTTGGTGCGCGGATTCGGAACAGGAAGCCACCTAATTTAGATTTCTCTAACAGCGAAATGGCCAAAGAAGTCTTTCTCTTTTAGACGCAGTCACCAACGACATACTCTTGGCGAGTTGCTTTCGTTTGTAACTGAATTAATATTGGTCTTTCACGATTTACGCCCATACATGGTTTCTATAGATGCGTTATGAACTAAATAGGCAAATATATATATAAAAAAAAAAAATCTCCCTTTAACGTAGGCAACAACTGAACGTGCCTTGACAAAGAAGCCTTAACTAGCATATGTATTAGGCTATTGTTCATTCAAATCATCAGAAAACAATCAACTGCTCCCGATAAAAGGGCTAATATGTTTATCAAATACCTCATTCGCTTCCAGTTCAGCGCACAGTAAGGACGACCAGGAAACCAGGAATATGGAATTTACTTTGCCAGTTCATGACGATCGTCACATAAAGAGGCCGTTGAACTCCTTCATGGTATGGGCCAAGGAACGAAGAAGAGAGATGAACAGAGATAACCCAAAAATGCGCAACGCTGAGATTAGCAAAATCCTTGGAGAAGAGTGGAGGCAGTTGTCGGACGAAGTAAAGAAGCCTTTCGTTGAAGAAGCAATACGGCTTAGGCGTCAACACAAGCTCGATCATCCAAACTACAGGTACAGGCCACGACGAAAGAACCGCCTGGAAGCCAACGGAGAAATTGTGCAACGTGAAGGATGCCGCCAACCGTTGGCTCTCTACCCGAGCGCAGGAGCCACTTCGTCTGGATTTCTTGCCCATTCCCTGCATCAAGACTACAAATCAGCAATGTTTCCTCCCCGGTTTGCCCATCACGACAAGCCAAGCTACCTGAGCGAACACACTTCAAAGCCAGGTAACGCTTCGACGGGTTACATGGCACCTTTTCCAGTACGGCCTTCCGATGTCCCGTCTTGGAATGGGTATCTGTCACCGGCAACATCACCTTATTACTTTGATCCACCCCGATTCACCATGTCTTATGAAAGTCCTGTGCGAGCAATCCATCCAGGGAGGATATCACCTGTTAAAGATAAGCTCCCAAGTCCGAACAACCCGGGCATCACAGGAAATCATTCGACTACCTGGCCGTACTTTGCCCTCAAGGCAGAACTGCAATACGTCTAAAAACAATTTATTTTTCTTTTTGTAATCACGTGGCCTATGTGTTTTCTTAGTTACTTTAATGCCATTACCAAACAAAAAAGATGTAGTACGTGGTTTTTTATGGTTATTTAGTTTTTACTTTAAAGCCTCATTGTGTGATTTTGAAATTATTTGACTTTGCAGTGTACCGTAAATGCTAATCAAACATTGGAAAATGCCGTTGATCCATGTTTGTTTTGATAATAAAGCCTGAATTGAGTTCAGCTAAAGAAAATTGTGTATCTTTTATTTGCGATGCGCTTGAAGCAACCTCCACATGGCGGTTCTATTAATTTTTCCTCAGTGAAGCGTAGATTATGCGAAATTACTTACTTCTTGAAAAAGGCGTCCGCTACTAACCGAGATAATTTTTTTTTTCCATCGGGATCTATTGTTCAGAAACATGTCATTAATTTTATTTCCTTAAATGTATATTACATATCGTGGATCGCAATTAGTTACCCCCTAACAAATAGCACATCATTCGGGGAAGGTATCACATAATTTTAATTTTCACTTGGATATTCACGATGTGCCAAAAGCAACGCCAGGCGTGTGAACCTTTATGTCAAAATCCTATTGAGTAGATTTTAGTGTCAAAATCTTTGTCCTACACAATATAGCACGTGGGATTATTGTTAATTGGTTTTAGCCTGCCGCGCGTCTGCCCAGAAAAAAGGTTTCCTATTTTTATCGGTCCAATTGAGTTGCTTTTCAATAGGAAAAAATCCGGCTTTCAAACTATTTTTTTAAAAACTTAGTCCTCCTGGAATATTTACAAGGTTTTTTTTCCAAAAATACTATTCTATATCCGGTCATAAAACGCTTGGATAGCTTTGGGTGTGTATTTACACCTTAACTTCGCTAATATGACCACTGATTGACAAAAATCAATAGTTTAGAAATTCACTTAAAGCTTGAAAGTAACAAAAAACTGCGCGTTATGGAGAGTGTGCCAATACAAGCTCGAAATGTTTAGACAATCAAAGAGCCACACAAAAAAGGCTTATACAAAAGTTGTATATCGTTTATGGTTATTGACGAAGATTAGCATTAATCTTCTGCACGGAAACCAAATGAGGCGAGAATAAGTCCTGAATCAGTTCATTTTTTCGGTGCAGTGATTCTCAAATGTCGGATGTGATCCAATTTTAGAACAGGTATTTCTTTGAAAGAGGGATATCATAAGTTTTGAGTCACTACTGCGGGAGCGACATTTATGCATGCCGCCATTTTGATCGGCCAAACTAAGGTTTTTGTTTTGGTCTTTTGTCATTGAATGAATCCCCAGGCTCTCTCAATTCAAAGACGGAAAAAACACACACACACTGTAGATAAAATAAAGCACGTAACAGAAAAATATGATGAAATTGCCTCGAAAATTTGTAGGTAATGAAAAAAAATTACAGACGCCTGAAACAAAAAGACAACAAAATTATTTCAGATAATACGGTGTCATCGGGGGAAAAAACTATTTTTGTGGTCATTGTCTCCGTTTTCAGCCAGTTTAGTTTTTGTTTCACATCTAAAATTGTTGTTTCTATTAGTGAAGCCACCTGGAGAACAAATTTTTCTTTTAGATAAACGAACACTTTGTTGTAGAGATGATGTTTAGCCTAGAGTTCCGGAGGCGGCGTTTCAAATGTTATACCAGAAGCATTCCAGCTTGTCCAGTTCTATAGACGCTAAATGAAGTGTGCAAAATTCGCTTTCAAGCCGCTTTTACTAATAATCAATAATAAAAAGAGAGAAACCTTGCGTGAAATAGACTCTTTAACTAAATTTAGGCTGTGAAAGAGCTTGTTTCAGACCTTTCATGTAAGAGTCTGTTCAGTTAATACAGGCCAAAAACTGTTGATCTTTTGTATTTTTTCAATGTTCTGTTTCCTTTTCTTTACAAAGCGTCTACATGTGCTTACAAAAAATGCGTTTTTAGTATCTTTTGTCTCCCCTAAGGGAGACCAGAACAATTCCAGACACTGAATACAGGTTCGGAGTTCCCAGCATATTGTGCAAGAGGTCGCCAAAACATGGAAATTGTATGAAAAAAAAGAGACAGGTAATCATTTACAAGAAAGCCTGTCTCACGAATCATCGCTCATGAAAATCACGACCAAAAAAATTAAAAGTGAAAATTTCGAATGGACGTCAGCGTGCTTTGAAGGAACGTCAAACACCAAAATGGCGAAATCTCTTGACCAATATTTCCAATTTTGTTTCGTGCGATAGGACTTTTAGGAGTATGAAAAGATAAAAGCGTATGCATGTGGCTTCTCTGAAAGAAATTGTTTAGAAGCTTTATTTTTTACAAAAGATTTCCCTTCCTTTTTTGAAATAGAGGCAAGAAGAAGTCAATTTATTGGTGAAGAGATTGAAAAGGCCTCGTGTTCGCCTTTACTATTTTAACCAACTAAAAAAAAAAAGTAGATTTGTTGTCCCATCCAGAAAATTCCTTACCTTTCATCGTTACTAGCTCAGGAAAAGAGAAAATAAATTCGTGGTGAATCAGTTGCATCATCTTCATCAGTAAACAACCGAGGTAAAAAAAAAATCTAAACACTAAATCAGATAAATATCAATTCTGTTTCCCTCTCTCTTCTTCTTTGCAATAATGCTACTCATTAAAAAAAACAAAGATACGTATATTAACTTTTTCGTTGCAAAAAGATCAGAGAAGGGTGCAAGCTTTTTCCTTACGTCAGTTATTTCTGGGATTTGGTCGAAAGTAGACCATATAGGTAGGAGCTTTATACACTTCAAGAAGAGAAAATCACAGTTTCGTCTCCAACAGCAACAAAATTTTATTCGTGGATATTGAACTCTTAGCAAAAACAACATAAAGTTTGCTCATTTTAAGTGCTGATATACATCGTAGCTATGGATCTACCGACGATTTGGTTATCTGGCCTAGCAACCACTTTGATCTGAAAAGAGAGAAATATCATGAATACAAACTTGTTCTGCACGAACACAAAAAAGTTTCTCTCAGCACAGTGGGATAATCGCCTTATAGTAGAAACAAGTGTCTTCTTATCTCCGCGGTCTGTTTTTTCGTTTCCCGCGGATTTTCCCTCACTTACTTGGGGTACTCATAACAGTTCGCCGTATTGATGGCAAAACCTACATCATATTTATGAAATTTTTTTTTAATTTATCACGCGTAACATAGGATGTAATAAATTTACCTCATAAGCTCCTAGAGTCTTACAGATCATGGCCAGTAACTGAATAAAATTCCGCATCTTATTTGGCAGAATACAACATCTCTGAGTAAATTTAAGCGTAGAATACATGTGAACACCATATCGTCGGGAATAATATTCACATTTTGTATTTCAGTGCGCCTATATTTCTTATGTTGAGTCTTACATTTCTGTTTGGCAATCTACCATGCGACTTTGTGGTGTTTAATTTATCTATATATAAAATTATTGAACTCTGTCTTAAAAATCTATCTATCTACCAATCTATGTCTATATACATACATGTATTAATGGAAAGAATGAGTCGTAATTAAGTTCTACATACGTGTGTTTGCAGAGGAAAAAATGGTCCACAATGGTAAATCAAAACAAAATCAAACGAATTTTAGATCATATTCTTCGAGAAATAGATTCGTTGATTTTTTTATGTTTTTCTTAAGATGTGTTAATCTAACGCGAGCGAATAATTAAGAATAAGTTAAAATCAGCGATTAAAGAAATAAGATAAAATTCAATCGGAAAATTGTAAAAAGAAACGTTTACTTTAAAATTAAATGTGCTAATATTGTAATACAACTAACAACAATTAAATGTCGGCATTTACTGATGTTAGAGAAAGACGACTAGAAGGACAAACGAATTTATGGAGGGCAATACCAGTCAAAAAAAAGAAACTTTGCATAGAAACAAGTTCTTTGGGTGTTTATAAGATAGTTGAATTTTCGAAACACTTCATTTAAAATGTTTCAGTACTCTGCTACTAAGTTTTTAAAGATGCTCATGTTATTATATCTCAAAGACAAACTAGTAGTATTTTGTACTTTCTTTATATCATATATAGTTTTTCCCCTTTTCTTTTTCTTTATGCATGAATCAACTCTATTAAGTCAGTAAATGCAAATAACAAACTTGAGTATTTCATAAAAAGCGGCTCAGCTGAAACTGAAAAAAGGAAAATCTTAGAGAGAGAAAAAGTAAAGAACGAAATGATCAATCAATTTTCTTGAACTGACAGGTTGCTTTGCCTTATTTTTATGATCTTTCCAGTTGTTACATAATAATGTTCATGAAGAGAAAAATTTGAAAAACTAAATTTTAAAAGTTTGCACAGATCCCCAATACGAGTATATCGCTTTGACAATGGTTATGCAAATGTGTTCTTTAAACATCGTTTGAGGAAAATAAGCTCCGTGAAACATAAGAACTCTTAGACTTAATCCTCTTTAGCTGCAATTGCCTGCCGAACTACAAATAACACCAGTTTTTTTTTTTTTTTCTTAAAGTTAACATGGCGGAAACCACAATAAGAAAAAGAAATGTTTATTTTGTACTTGTTATAGCTACGTTTGGCATTAAACACATTTTCTTCATTTCGCCATAAAAAGGATACTGGCTCGACATATTTTCATCCAAACTTTTCCGCCGACTTTACTTTAAATCACAATTATATTTATTTTCTGCTTCTCTGAGATGCTGCTTAAACATTTTTCAGTGATTTTTAATCGTTATTTTTATTGGAATATTTGAAAAAATTATGATTATTCTGGCGGCTTCTTTATTTAGCGGAAGTGTACAATCAAATTGTATTTATTTTTCTGCTTCTCTGACACGCTGCTTAAACATTTTTAATGGTTTTTATCGTCATTACTATATGAACATTTAGAAATGATGATTACTCTGGCGGCTTCATTATGTAGCAGAAGTGTACAATCAAAGTTGCGTGCGGCATCCTTAAGAAAACCTTTAAACCTTTTAGTAACTTCAGATATACGGCACTTTTTAAAAAAAAAGTAAGATGAACAAAAAGCCATGTCCTCAAAGAGAACAAACCGATGAAATGCGAAAGGTGTCATCAGAGTCATGTTAGAAAATAATTAAAGAAAATACAAAAAATAACGATCAGAGTTGAACAAAAAATTCTAAATCTTGTTTTAGGTGATTATAAATATTTGATTTTCTATTTTAGCACCTAACTCCGGAATCGTTCAAGAAAGATGGCGACTAATTCAAAATCGATTTGGAAACGTCGTTGAAATAAAAATGAAGTGATTGTTTCCTTAATCCTTACGATCGCTAATTTATGAGAAAAAAAGTGACGGTCATAATTTCTTCATGGGTTAATCACAACCCTGCGTAGCCAAAACGACTTCTAAGTGAGACACGCCCCAACCCAAGAAACTTCTTTTCGATGTCAAGTGAGAAAGACAGAACATGAACTGAACTGAACGCGTAATTCCTTCTGTGGACTAGCTATGACCCACGAGATTTATTTGTATAACGCCTTGTAAGATTTTTAGGGTGCGACACCCAGGCAGACCACCCAATGGTGCGACACTAAGGCTAAACCCTTCCAGATTTTGGGCATAATTTGGAAACACAAAATAATTAATACACTTTTAATAATAGCAGCACAGCTAGCATAGCAGCATTTTTTTGCGTAATAAATTTTTGCTTCAGTTTTCCGCTTAAAACGTTCTTACTCTTAATCGTTCTCAACAACTGATTTTTATGTAAGAATAACGCAAACGTTTCGTTTCACTTTATTCAGGTGTTTCAGACAAAAATACGGCATTTATTTAATTTTTCAGTATCCTACTCGCAACGGTCCTATATGCTTTTGTAGTGCAAGAAGTCTCCCTCTCTGCCGCACTCATTGGGTGTTCTGCCTTTGTCTGACCATGCACAAATTTCAATAGCATTCCAAACATTTTGAACGAACTGGCGAAAAGAACCTTCCCATAAATGGGATTCGTCTTGTAGCGAGAATAAACAAAACAAAAGTAAACAATATGATTGCCAACGAGAAAACGAACCTCTGACCATGGGTTTCCTCCGATGCTATACCACAGACCCACAGAATACTAGATAGTGAGCTAGGCCATTATTATATTCACGTGTGACACGCGTCTTGTAAAGAGCAGCTTTCATTAAGTGTCGAAAGCCAACACCAGCCAAGATTAACTAGGCGACCAATCAGAACAAGGTTTTCATTATCATAGGCCAGTGACAACTAAAAGTGACAATAACCAAACTGCCTAAAGGGCGGGAATATGTGAAAGACCGAGTGATGAACAAGGCTTTGATTTCTCTTACGCTTGAAACAAAACGGATATCTCTTTAAATATATCAGCTCCAAATTTAGCATCTTTCTTACTCTTCATCCCGTCAATTTATCTAAATCATTGTGTAAGTGCAAAATAATGATAATAATAACAATAATAATAATAATAATAATAATGACTGAAATAACCTTTATTGAATCTAACATGAAAGTGTATAAAAAATTAAAAAAAAAAACCTTGCAAGTTACAATTCTCCTTTTAAGGAAATATCACTAACCTAAACTACATAATTATATGGCTAAGAATAATAAAATTATAATGTGCTGTTTAGGTAGTCTATATCTTACTTTAAGTCTCTTGACAAAGGAATAATAATAATAATAATAATAACAATAATAATAATTTTTTTAATAATAATAATCTTTATTTAGCAATAATTTCCATAAAATCCTCTACAATACAAAATATTAACAGCGTAAAAAACAATCCAAAATAACTCAATTTCGGCTCACATCTACTCCTTTTTTTTAATGTCAAAGCGTCTGGAAAACTATAAATAACGGAGTCAACTCTGAACAGATTCAAAGTGTAATAGTCTGATAAGTAAAAGCATATCTAAAACTATACAGAAAAGAGAAAGGTGAATGGCAAATCTAGAACCCTATATACAGCCGCTTCTTGTCGTTTTCATGGATGCGAT